AACCTTGGTTAGCGCTTGGCCGAAAGGGACTACAAAGCCCTTTTCTTTGCTAACTCCAGAGCCATCTTTGCACGTTTCCTCCTGCTTCTCTGTTGGAGCAACAGCCGGAGGTGCCTCTTTGTCTCTCTCTTGGGGGGGGGGGGGGGGCCGGCACCCCTCCCCCCCCCCCCCACAACCAGCTCAACATCAAAGGCTGCTTTGAAAGACGCCTCCTCCGTCACCATGGCAGTGCGACTCGCGTCCTTCGTGCCACACAGCCGGGGCTGATTGGCCGGCTCGGCTGGCTGCTCCAAGGAGTTGCTGAGCCCCCTCCTCACAATCTCGGAGCCTCAGCCGACCCTTCCCCATCTTTCCTTCCTAGCTGGCAGCCCACCCACCCTGGCTTGCAATTGGTTCTCCACTCCAGGCATTTCGAAGGGATCCACTCCAACTTCCTGGCTCCCGATCAGATTTGTGCATCCCACAGCCTCCCCCGTGGTGGAGGAGGAGATCAGTTGGGCCGGCTTGAATCACAAGCAGTTTTGTAAGCTGACTTAGGATGCCTTGAAGCTAGAAGCCCTGGGCGGGGTGTGGGGGGGGGAGTTTGCAAGCAGGAGAAGAGCTACAAACCCATCGCTGGGCCCGAGGGGAAGGGTCTCAGGGCACCCGCCGTGAACCCAGCAAGTGGGGCTGCCACCGAAGCCGCCCTTCCAGCCAACCGGCTGCCTGAACCAGCCGATTTTGCCTCCCCAAAGCCCTGGCGTGTGGAGAGCCCCCAGGCCCTGTGGCTAACAGGGGCCCGCTTGCTCCTTCAAGGAGGGGGGGGAGGGAGCTGCCTGCAACCGGCTGAGACCCCCCTGCTCACCGGTGCTTTGGAGAGACCCCCATGCTGGCTTCTGACAGCGCCCCGCCTGGCCAGTCCTTTCGGGAAGATTCAGGGACCAAAGAAGGGAGATTCTTTTATTGGCAAGACTTATGAACGACATTTGACTGACGACGGTTTTCCTTTCCATTTAATGCCACTGTTGTATCTCGAGTGGGATGACTAATCCTGGTTTGTGGCACCTCCCTCCCCGCGCTGGAAGAGTAGGAGTAACACTACTACTCTCGGTCGTTTACGCCTGGTGGGCTTACGGGGAGCAGAGCAGCACAGCCGAGCGATTCCTCAAAGGTGCCAAAAGATTCTGATCAGCCCCGTTGATGGAGGAAATCCCCGACTTATGACAGCTCATTTAGGGACTGTTCAAAGTTACAAGAGCATTGAAAAAAGTGACTCAGGGCTGTTTTTCACAGGTGCCACCTTGGCAGCTTTCCCATGGTGACGTGATCAGGATTCAGACGCTTGGACACTGGCTCACACTTACGACCATCATGGTGTCACATGATCCCCTTCTGCAACCTTTGAACGAGCAAAGTCAAGGGGGGAGCCGGGTTCCCTCAACAACCACGTTACTAACTGCAGGCAAGAAAGGTCATAAAATGGGGCCAAATGTCTCACTTAACAACAGAGCTTAGGTGCTCAACATAAGCCGAGGACTAGCTGTACTCGGCCCCTCTTTCGAGCCGCCCGGCTGCCCCCCATCTCTTCCAGATTTGCCTTTGGTCTTTTTTTTTCCACTGACTGTGCGAGAACTGGGCATTTGGGCAATTTTGGCAGCCCCTCACTGCCAAGATAGGACCCCCCTTTGCCCCCCCCTCACCCCTCACCCCGCCCCCCACCCATCTCCCTCCCCTCCCCGGCTCTCTTTTCCTCCAGTGGCCCAGCATCTTTGCCAGGCCGCCCTGCCACCTTCTCCCTGCCCTCGACTGCCAGCCAAATGCAACCCCCCCCAAAGTCCCCCTGTGCCCATTAAAAACAGCATTTGCCCCTTTCTGTAGTAATATTTTGGTCAAGAAATGAAATTCTCTTCTCATCTCTCTCTCTCTTCTCAGTATTAGCTCCAGAACCACAATTTCCTTATCCTTATATTTCAGTGAGAGAAGTTTCAGCCTCTCGCCCGTCTGCCTGTGTGGCACACATGCCAGCCCACATGGGTGTATAAATAGAGGAAATCTGCCTGCCATATGGTACACGCACCACCCTCCACCAGGTCTGGGTTACAGGCAGTCCTCCACTTATGACCATTCATTTAGTGACCGTTCAGTTACAATGGCACGTGACTTATGACCGTTTTTCGCACAGTGAACAGTTCCCATAGGGTCACGTGATCCAAATTCGGGTCCTTAGCCACTGGCTCGTGTTTATGACGGTCGCTGTGTCCCGGGGTCACGTGATCCTCTTTTCCAACCAGCCAACGTCAATGGGGAATCCAGATTCTCTTAACAACCAACGTCATGAAATGGGACAAAGCTCACTTAACAACGTTCTCGCTTAGCAGCAGGAGTCTGGGGCTCCATTGTGGTCGTAATTTGAGGGCTACCTGTACCCAGATCCCAGGAGACAAATTCTTGACGTTCAACCAGCCAAAGCCAAGACCTCCCCCTCCCCCTTTTAAGCACAAGCCTTGGGGCGCCTATCAGGGCTCTGGTCCCACCCCAGGCTAGCGGGGACCCTCCATGGGAGCCCCACAGGACCCCAGCACGACTTCTCCCACGCTCAGCCATCCACCGTGGAGCATCAGCATTTCGATACGGAAGGACTGAGAGATTATCTGTCAACTCTTAGCAACCCTCCTGATGGGCTGGCTTTGCAGAAGACCCTTCCTCGGGTTGGTGGAAGATTGCACAGGTTCATCCAGGAACATGTGCCACACGCATTTAATCTGAATATCCGCTAGCTCTGCCCCGGCCTCCTGGGCTGGGCAAACTCCGGCCTTTTCACCTGTGCTGCAAATTCAGAAGCCGGGTAATTCATTCGGCATGCTAACTGGATTGCTGGTACTTGGGTTCACCTGAGACCAGGGGTCTCCAACCTTGGCAGCTTTAAGACTTCTGGACTTCAACTCTGGAGACCCCTGACTCAGACAGTCCTGTAGCCAGGATTCAGAGAGGATTTCTCCTTGCTTCTGACTGTGGCAAACTACTCCTGGTTGTTACAGCTCCAAGTCTCCTCCAAGCCCCACAGCCTCAGAATTAAAAGAACCGAGGGGGGGTGGGCGGGTCCCCTGGTTCCACTTGCCCAGTGGAAGCCTTTGCTCGTATGGCAAAATCTTCAGAGAGGCTCTCAGTTGCAGGGAGCAAGCCAGAGACCCGGCCATCCCACCATCCCTCTCCGTCTCACCCTGGCCCTTCCCTGCAGCCATCACTCGGCTGCAATGTCTGTCTTTGCAAATATAAATTCTGGGGAAGAAGGGGGGAGGAGCCTCAGCAGCTGGTGTTCTCATGGGACGTGTCATGGCTGGGCCACATCCTAAGACCATGCCGGAGTCCCTGCCACACACGGGAACAGCGTGTGTTTGTGCAACGCAGCCCACACGCAACAGCTGGTCAGGGAAAGTAGCAGGTATCTGTGGCACTTGAAAGCCAAATCGTTGAGGGGAGCACATCAAACAGCACGGGGGGGGGAGCTTTACTTTTGCTCCTGTGGTGGTCTGACTCAGCACCTCACAACTCACTGCCAGTCAAGCTGCAAGCAGGAGCAGCACTTAAGATAAGAGACGCAATTCTGAGATTAGTATAAAGGAAGAGTTCACCCTCTTCCACCGAGAATTCCTCCTTGCTGCTCTGCTTTGTACAAACTTTGTCCTCCCTCTCCCCCCCCCCCAGATCTTTGTCCAAGTCTAGAACTTTCCCGGAGAGCCTTCTACACCAGCAGGCAACCCAGGACACCAAGAAGGAGCAAGAGCACCTAGACAGACTCTACACACAGAAGACAAATGGGAATCCGCCTGATTGCAAGGACAGTAGCCAATTTCCATGGGCGTCACGAAAAGGTGCCCTTGCGCCACTGACGGCCGGCCAGAAATGCTCCCGGGCACTTTGGGCTTGGAGAGCCACAAGCCGTGCAGGCCTCAGCCTCCAGACAGGACAGCTGCTCTGGATGCCCCCAAGGGCTGGTAGCCTCAGGCAGGCTCCCCTCCTCTCTGCGCCCCAATGTCTCTCGCGGAGGCCCCTGCATACCCCATGCCAAGACCCCCTTCTGGTTTGACAGGTGCCTCTGGGTAGGACAACCGATGCACGGGTGCTGCAGGAGCATCTTTGCAACATGACCTCATGCTGCCTGCAAGCACAGCCAGCGCTGCAGTGATGAGTGGGTGCACACAGATGCACCGGGTTCCAGAAGATGCTGTGAGCACACAAGAGGCACCCACGGTGTGGAGCACAACATGAGCTGCTCCGGCCTCCGTTTCTGACTGCTTGTGTGGGGAAGGCCGCCTCGAATCTACCTGGGTTCAAACACCGCTACAGCCCCGGGAGAAGCTCTTCTGCCAAGTCAGAAACCAAACGGGCTCCCTCCCAAGAGGGAGAGAGGGCTCAGCTGCCCAGCTACGGAAAATCCAAGCCCAGAGATAGAAGAAGCACCTCGGAGGGTCAGGAAAGGCAGAATGGAGCTAGGAGGGAAAACGGGCGGGTGTCTCTTTGTCTCTGGCTGAGTTCATGTCCACCCGAGAGAGGCTCCTTCCCCGGGTCTTCCTCCTGGGCCCAAGCACTCTCCTGCACCCCAAGATGCCTCGAGTGACAACTCTTGACTCTTCCCCATCTGTTGCAGGCACACACCCCACACCCACAGGCAGGATAGCCTTGACTCCCCTGTCCATGGAAACAGGCCCCAGCACAAAGGGGCCACAGAGGACCACTGGATGCAACGCATCCCACCCGCCATTCACACATCACCACACCGGTGATCTCCCCGGTCCCAGCCATTCTATCCTGATTTGTCACGCTCAGCCCAAGCAATCCAGGCAGATACGGGCTCTTCACACAAGACGCCTCGCCTGGCGACAGACTGAGCCAATGGTCTGGGTCCATTTCACAGGGCGGCCCCACCCCACGAGGTGAGCAGGCGGTGGGCGGCCCCCTCCCCCCAGACCGGGCAGGAGTGAAGCCGGGACCCCCTCCCCCCCCCCCCCGCCCGGGCTCACCCTTGACGGCTTCTCCGCGGTTGAGCTGGATCTCGCCCTCGCCCTGCGGCGCGTAGCTCTTGACCACGATGAAGCGGCGGCCGGGCACGGCGCTGTACAGCTTCTTCTTGGGGCCCCGCAGCGGAGCGCGCGGCGGCGTGCGGACTGTGCTCCACGCCCGGCCCGGCGCCCGGCGCCCCCCCAGGCCCGCTGCCGCTCCCGCCGGGGCTGTAAACGAAGACATAGGTTACGCTGCTGATGCCGGGCAGAGGCGGGGGGGCCATGGGCGCGGACGGGGAGGCTCTCCTGCGGCCCTCCGCCGGGGAAGTCAGGCCATCGCGGCCGGCCGGGGGGGAGGCGGCCGCCGCCGCCGCCGGGACCCGCACCCGCCGCCCGCCGATGGGGGCCCTGCCGGGGCGCCGGCGGGGCGGTCAGGCTGCCGGGCGCCGTCGCTGCCGCCGCCTCCAGCTCCGGCCGGCGCCCCCTCCGACGGCCGCAGCGCCATGGCTCCTCCGCCGCTCCGGACCCCCGCCCGGCTCAGGGGCCGCTCCCGGGACGCCGCCGCCCGGACCGGCCCCCGCCGCCGCCGCCGCTGCTGCTGCCCGCCCATGACGGCGGCGGGAGGCGCTCCTCGCTCGCTCGCTCGCTCGGCTGCCGGCAGCCCCCGGCCGGGCCGCCCGCCGCCCGCCCCGCCTCGCCGGCTCCGGCTGCCGCTCGCCAGCCGCTCCTCCCCTCGGCTGGGCGGGGACCCACCGGGCCGGCCCCCCGCGGACGGCGGCCAGACGGAGGGGCCGGGAGGGGAGGGGCGCTCTGGCCGCCGGGACCCCCTCCGCAGAGAAGCAGGCAGGCAATGGGCAGGCTCCGGGCAGCCTCTGAGCCCACCCGCCGGTCTCCCCCGGCCACTCCTGAGCCCCCCCCCTCTCCAGAAAAGGCTCCCCGAGGGGTCTTTCCTGGTGGTCCCCATCCCGCTTTGCCCAAACTCCTGCTTTAAAGTTAGCCGACCAGCTGGGATCTGCCCTTGACAAGGCGGGGGTGGGGGTGGGGCTGGGGTCTCCCGATGCCCGAAGGAATGAAGGATGCGATGGCTTATCGGGACCAGCTGGGACCCCCTCCCCCTCCCCCTCCTTGAGGCAGTAGAGAAAGTCCAGCCCTCGCCCAGCCTTTCCCAACCCTGCTCAGGACCCTCCTTCCCTCTCCCCGCAGAGCCCCCCCTCCTCCCCAGCACAGGACCCCAATGGACAGCCTGGTTTGCTGCCCACCGCCCCAGGACCCAAAATGGTGACAACAGCCCCCTTCCTCTTAGGTCCTTGCAGGCACACACAGGCCCTCCCCATAAGCACAAACCAGTGAGCCCATTAAGCCCAGTCCGCACTGAGCCAGATTGGCTCATCTCCCCAGCTAACCTGCCCTCCCAAGCCCCCAAGCCGGCTTGGCTCTGCGGGAGGCAGCGAGTTCAAATCAACCGTTCTTTCCAAGCATAGGGAGCAACTTTCACAGCATCGCCTGGGAGGCAGAAAATTGGCCCAGGGCTTCCAGAAACCCTCTGCCCCCCCCCACCGTCCCAAACTGATCAGCTCTGTGCATTGTAGGTCCAAACAGGACATGCCAGCCAAGGGTGGGGTGGGGGAGGGGGGGGCTCAGATCTAAGGAGAGCCTGAAAGCCTGAATGTGTCTGTTCAGAAGAGAGGAAGCTTCTTGGATGAGAAGCAAAACGTTTTCAAAGAAACACAAAACGAAGTCCAGTTGCCTTTTAGGGAAATTGTTCTTGGCTGACCCAACTGAGCAAGGATGCCAAAATCCCCCCTCCCCCCAAAGAGTCTGGGCAATCCCACAGCACCCCCAGATCCCCCCAACTCACCCAGAAGGGGGACTCTCCGAATAACAAAGGCTTTCAGGACAATGCATCCATCCCTGGTGCCCCACCCTCTGAAAAAAGGCAGTCGGAGAAAGAAACACAACTGCAAGCAAGTGTAAAGTTCACAAAAAAAGCCAATCTGGAGAGGAAGGGCGATTTTCCTGCAAGTACGGATCCTCCTTGACTTACAACCAAGTATTTAAAATCAAAATAGCACTGGAAAAGTGACTAATGATCAGTCCTCACACTTACGACCATCGCAGCAAGACCAGCTGCTTGGCAACCAGGAGGTATTTGAGCCGCAATGGCCCAGCGGTTAGAACGCAGGACTGCCAGCTGCTTCTGCTGCCTGCCGGCTGCCTGCAATTTGGCAGTTCAAATCTCACCAGGCTCCAGGTTGACTCAGCCTCCTGTCCTTCCAAGGTCGATAAAATGAGGACCCAGATTGTTGGGGCAAGAGGCTGACTCTGTAAACCACTTAGAGAGGGCTGGAAAGCACCGCAAAACGGTATATAAGTCTAAGGGCTATTGCTATTTGCAATGGCTGTGGTGCCCCTTGGTCATGGGTTCTCCAGTTGCGACCTTCCCAGGGGGCAATCAGAGAAGCCAGATTTGCTTAAGGACTGCATGGTTCATTTAACAACCCTGGCAAAAAAAAGGTATATAATAAGGACTGACTCACTTAACAAACACCTTGGTTAGCAATGGAAATCCTGGTCACAACTGCAGCCATAAGTGTAGGACTATTCTCCTGGGAGCTGCAGCCAGCTCTGGCACCCCACGAAGTCACCGCAGAGCTGCAGCTTGACTCAAATGCCCATAATCCATGTCCTGCCAATGCGGAGTGTTGGAGAAAGCACAGGCCTGTTCAACTTCATTCCCCCCAAGTGAGAGGGTGAGGATTGGCGTCTATGGCCAAGTCGAAGCCCCTTACAGAGACCCTTCTGGGACCCAAGAACCTTTTCTTAGTGGACCAACAACTGAGGGACACACCCCTTTCATGGTCTACACCACACAACTGCTTTCACATAGATCACAACTCTCAATACTATACTTACTAAGGAGTAGAGGAGTTGTAGCAAAACAGTCAGAAAAAAATAAGTCATTTATTACTGATTATAAGGCCACCCAACTCTGGATTGTATACAGGTTAAAAACACAATTCAACAATAGCCCATTATAATAATAATAATAATAATTCTCTTTTAAGATGATTATAACTGGAAGAATGGTGCTAGAGAAGACCTCAATCAATCAATCAATCAGAGTAGAGCTGGAAGGGACCATGAAGGACTTCTAGTCCAACCCTACTCAAGCAAGAGGCCTCGTATACCATTTCAGACAAATTATTGTCCAATCTCTTCTTAAAAACCTCCAGTGATGGATCACCCACAACTTCTGAAGGCAACTTCTGTTCCACAGGTTAATTGTTCTCATTGTTAGGAAGTTTCTCCTTAAAATTCCCTTAATTTTCTTGAGAGTCCCTTGGAGTGCAAGGAGATCCAATCAGTCGATCCTAAAGGAAACCAACCCTGTTCTTTGGAAGGACAGACCCTGAAGCTCAAATACTTTGGCCACCAAATGAGAAGCGAGAGAGAGCGCTCCCTGAGAAGACCCTGAAGGCCCCTTGGTGCTCTCTGAGCTTGGTTGTTTCCTTGGGGATGAAAAGCTACAAATATTCTCCTGTATTAAAGACCCTGATCATGGGGGAGGAAGGAGAAGGGGAGGGCAGAGGGGATGGTTAGATTATGTCATTGAAACAATGAAAATGAAATTTGGAGACAAACTCTGGGAGACAGCAGGTGGGAGCCTGGTGTGCTGTGGACCTCGGCTACCTGTCATCTCAACCTTTTCTTGTGAGCAAGTCTTCTCCACAGGGAAAGGGCCTTACGTAGGGCTGCTGGCCAGCCATTTGCACCCACAATAACTGGGAAAACAGCTTAACGTTTGCCATGAATGTTCTTTGCAGCACAATTCCTTCTTCCTGCTACCGTGTCCCTCCTCCGTCACCTGGGCTCCTCCACGCGTCCAACCGCTTCCTTGGAGCGGCACAAGCAGCTTCCTCTTGCCAGGATTGGTGGGCAGGACTTGGAAGGAGAAAGAAAGGGCCGCGGGAATCCCAAGCTCCTTGCAGAAAGCAAAGGTGGGAATGTTGCGGGGAGGCCAACACGGAGGACGGACAATGCAGATTTAGGCGGATTAGATGGTCAAAATTGTTGTTGTTCTGGAACACTTTTTGGTCCATGGTCCATCACTCCAAAAGGAACCCTCAAGCCTGAACTCTTCAGAAGCTGTGGGCGATTCATCCCTGGAGGTTTCTAAGAAGAGGTTGGATAGCCTTTGGTCTGAAGTGGTTTCCTGCCTAAGCAGGGGGTTGGACTAGAAGACCTCTGAGGTCCCTTCCAACTCTGTTATTCTATTCTACGCCCATTTTCATTTTAAAATCAGTTCCATCTTTCCTTGAAAAATAACTTTGTGTGTTGTTTCTCTTTTGCTGTTTGTTTGCTTTTGGCGCTGAGATCAGAAAAAAGGAAAAGAAAAGGGCTGGAAGAGTCAGAAGCACCTTCTCCGCATGGAGGGATTTATCTGAAAGGCCAGGGGAGAGAACAGAAGACAAGATAAATGGGCCTCTTTGGTCTTCTGGCACTTCAGAAACAAATGCGAAGGGAAAAAAGGTGCTCTGAATTTTCAACAGCTTATTTCTGTTTCCAGTTGATAAGCCGACTTCATAAAGAGCCACTAATTGTGCAAATATTTAGATCCAAATGCTCCCGTGTGAAGGGGGGGCGAAACAGGCGCCCCAAGGGCAGGTTTCCAAGTTGGGTTCCCTGCATATGAACGGACGTCAGTGTGAAGCCCATTACAGGCGCAGGTCCTCAATTTACAACCATTCATTTAGTGACCGTCTGAAGTTACAACGAACCTTAAAAAAGTGATTTATGACCATACTTGCAACTGTTGTAGGAAGAGGTGACATGACAGCCCTGTTCCAGTACTGGAGGGGCTGCCCCAAAGAAGAGGCAGTCAACCTGTTCTCCACAGCACCAGAAGGCAGGAGAAGAAGCAACCAAAGAGAGAAGCAACCTGGAACTAAGGAGGAATTTCCTAACAGTGAGAACAATTTACCTCCAGAAGTTGTGGATGCTCCAACACTGGAGGCTTTTAAGAAGAGATTGGACAGCCATTTATCTGAAATGAGCAGACTAGAAGACCTCCACGGTCCCTTCCAACTTCGTTATTCTGTCCTGTTGTTTTGTTATTCTGCATGTCGTGACTGTGGGCACCTTTACCTTCACAACGGTGTCATAGGTAACTTCTTGGGAGGGAGTCTATCGTAACTTTGAATGGTCATTCGGTGACCGGCCATTAAATGAGGTCTATCTGTAACTCAGTATTTCATCTCTTCGGTTGCCTCGCGTCCAGCCCCGACCTTCCTCTCGGCACAAAACGTTCCATAATTCATCCTTAACCTCTTCATCACGCACCGTCTGTACACCACCAATAAATATCCTTCCCCCCTTCCTTTCTCTGTCCTGCTGAAGAGGAGGACCACTCGTACTCGTAACTCAAGGACTTCCTGCCTTCCCTTCTGTAGCACAAATGAGGTTTGTGAGATAGCCACAACAAAACTCTTCGCTACGGAAGTTGCCACACTGAAAAACAAAACCCAAAGCCACAAACGCAGAACTCCGGTGGAAATGTGGAACATAAATGCGGGACTCTCGCACAATATCCTTAATGTCACCGGCTAGCAAAATAATGCTCAGGATCATATACAGTAAAGAACGATTGCTGGAACTGGTTATGTCTAGTTTAATGAAAAGAAGGACTAGGGGAGACATGATAGCAGTCTTCCAATATCTCAGGGGCTGCCACAAAGAAGAGGGAGTCAAGCTATTCTCCAAAGCACCAGAAGGCAGGATGAGAAGCAATGGATGGAAACTAACCAAGGAGAGAAGCAACCTAGAACTAAGGAGAAATTTCCTGGCAGTTAGAACAATTAATCAGTGGAACAACTTGCCTCCAGATGTTGTGAATGTCCATCACTGGAAGTTTTAAGAAGATGTTGGATAACCATTTGTCTGAAGTGGTGAAGGGTTTCCTGCCTAAGCAGGGGGTTGGAATAGAGGACCTCCAAGGTCCCTTCCAACTTTGTTATTCTATTCTATTCTATTCTATTCTATTCTATTCTATTCTATTCTATTCTATTCAGGGGATATTAGAGTCCCACCTGGGGAGGGAGACGGCAGATGTCTGAGCCGATTTTAGAAAAGGCGAACAGGAGACATTCATTACTCTTGACATTTGCTAAATAATTGAAAAAGTCCAAGAATATCAAAATGAAATCAATATCCCTTCACCGATTTGACAAAGGCCTTCACTTGCATTGACCGTGTTAAGGGGTGGAATATTCTTAGAAAAATGGGGATTCCAGATCTGCTCGGGGTTCTCCTGAGAATCCTGCACTGTCACCGGAGGAAGAAGCCACATTCTGGATCCCGCAGGGTAAAACCCGCAACGGTCTTGGGGTCCACGAAGGAACGAGGGAAGTCCGTGGATGCTCCCATTATTTCTTCAGTCTATATGCTGAATATATTTTAAGGGGAGCTGAATTGGAAAAAGATGAGTATGGTTTAAAATTGGAGGACGAAACATTAATATTCTGAGCCATGCTGATCACTCTACCTGACGCCCAAGGATCTGCCAGCCAGAGTTATAAAAATTAAGGTGCAAAATGAAAAAGAAAAAAAAAGGGGGGGGCTAATGTTATCTCTACAGCCAACGAGGAACAACAGGTCTGGTAACCAGCCTGAGATTTGGGAGAGAAGATGCTGGAAGGCAGGAGAGCTTCTGCCCTTTAGGATCCACCATCCATGGAGAATATCAGAGTAGAAACTAGTTTGTGAGTTCTAGTCCTGCCTTGGGCACGAAGCCACTGGCCGACCTTGGGCCAGTCACTTTCTCTCAACCCTAGGAAGGAGGCAATGGCAAATGGCTTCCGAAAAACCTTGCCAAGAAAAGTTTGAGGACTCATCTGGGACCTCTCCAAGAAACAGAGGCCATTGGAGGGAAGGGGAGGAAAGGACACTGAGCGTCAAAGAACAAACAGTCAAGAACTATGCCACAGCCTGGCACGAAGGCCTGGAAAAGATCTTCAGAGGCCAAGAGGCCTTCACCTCCAAAGACCAGAATCGGGCAAGCCGAGCTATTCCCTCTCAGGCTCCATGGATGCCGAAGAAGCAGGGAAGGAAGAGGACAGGCCATCCTCGGCTTACAACAGGACATTTAGTGACTATTCAAAGTTACATCATCATGAAAAAAGGGACTTATTTCACTTTTCACCATTTTTCACACTCGCAACCATTACAGCAGCCCACCCTGATCCCGTGATCCAAATTCAGAGGCTTGGCAACTGGCACGGACTTCTAAGGGTCACGTGATCCCCTCTTGAGACCTTCTGACAAGCAAAGTCAAGAGGGAAGCCGGATTCACTTAACAGCCGTGTTACTGACTTAACAACTGCAGTGATTCACTTAACGACTGTGGCAAGAAAGGTCGTAAAATGAGGCAAAGCTCACTTAACAAATCTTCTCACTTAGCAACAGAAATTTTGGGCTCAATTGTGGTTGCAAGTCAGGGACTACCTGTCATTGATGCCTTTGAATTCAGACCTTGAAGAGGATTACTGGGAACTGTCCATGGTGTTCACAGAAAACACAATTAACAGAATAACGGAGTTGGAAGGGACCTTGGAGGTCTTCTAATCCATCCCCTGCTCAAGCAGGAGACCCTCTACCATTTCAGACAAATGGCTGTCTAAGCTCTTCCTAAAAACTTCCAGTGTTGGAGCATTCACAACTTCTGGAGGCAAGGAGTTCCACTGGTTAATTGTTCTCACTTTTAGGAAATTCCTCCTTAGTTCTAAGTTGCTTCTCTCCTTGATTAGTTTCCACCCGTTGCTTCTTGTCCTGCCCTCAGGGGCTTTGGAGAATAGCTTGACTCCCTCTTCTTTGGGGCAGCCCCTGAGATATTGAAAGACTGCTATCATGTCACCCCTAGTCCTTCTTTTCATCAAACTAGACAACCCCAGTTTCTGCAACCGTTCTTCCTATGTTTTAGCCTCCAGGACTTTTGTCATCTCTGTCGTTCTTCTCTTTCCAGAGTCTCAAGACCTTCTGAGGAGGGGCAGGAGCCCAGATCCCTGAGGCCAAAGGCTGGTAGACCAGGAACCTTGCACAAGCCCATCTTCATTGGATCCCAGCCTCCCACTCCTCAATCCACGGAGTCGCTGGAATAACAGGACAGCCGAACAGATGGCAATCAATGCCAGCATTCAGACAAGGGACACGTTGACGGCCCTTAATGGGCAAGCAAACATACGTCAATGCCAGGCTGATGAAGTACCTTTCCTGACTGCAGAAAGGAACGTTGAAGAGGTCTCCTGCTGCAACCCGGCCTTCCAAGGAAGCCGCAGAGAGCAGAGCAAACGTCAGCGTGCAGAGGAGGCAAGACAGACGCTGGCACGTTTCGATTCATTGCCCAGAAGGACAATGCAGAGGATGAGCAAATAACCTGGATCTAAGATGGCCAGAAAGGACTAAACTAGGAATCGCTCTGGGGGGACAGGAAGGAAACGCAAGAGGGTTTTGCATCAGGCTGCAGCCCCAGAGAGACCCCCAGGGAGGGTGCCCCACCATCTGAACCCAGCAGAATTAGCTGCCGTCTCTTGCCTGGGACACCCCAGATGTTTTCTGCTGGATGGCTGGGACGAGGGTTAAGGGGACCCAGAGACCATCTTCCCCAACCTGGGAAAGGCATTTCTGCACCTCCCTTGTGCTGACCCTCCTCCTGTCGCCCCCACTTTCTCCAAGCGGCAAATTTACCCCTTCCGGCTTCCCTGAGTAAGACTGTGGTCCAAGCGGCTCATTTGAGACTCAGCCTGGTTGGAACTTGGAAGCCCCCTGCCAGCTGCTGCTCGCCCTCCTGAGCACTGCACAAGCCTCCCCCTCCCCCTCTGCAAGGGCCTGGGAAAGAAAGGACGGGGGAGGGGGGGCAACAGACAACACTATGTGTGGGACACCCCCCCCCCCTTCCTCAGCTGCCAGGCAGCAGGCGGCGTTTCTCCACCTGGTGCCTTCCATCTGGGCTCAGCTCCTGCTCTGGATGCCCAGCTGGCCCACGGGGAGACATCCTGCACTGGGGTGTGTGTGTGTCTTCCTTGCATTTCCCCACTCCCCACAGCCTCTTTAGCCCCCCCCCACCCAACGGATCCAGTCTTTGTCCAATTGGCTGGTAAAGAGGCAGGCCTCCACTGAGCCCAGCATTTCCCTTGCTGAGTAGTTGTTAAGTGAATGTTGTCCCATTTTACGGTCTTTCTTGCCACGGTTCTTAAGTGAATCACTGCAGTTGTTAAGTTAGGAACACGGTCCTTAAGTGAATGGCCTCCCCATTGACCTTGCTTGTGGAGGACTGACTCTCTCTCTCTCTCTCTCTCTCTATCTGTCTGTCCGTCCATCCAATCTCTCTGTATGTGTTGGGGGGGAGGGGCTGGGGGTAGGCAACGACCCCTGTGGGTTTAAGTTCTCCTTGGACGCCCCGTTTGTCCTCCTGAATTCGGCACCAGCACCGGACACCCCCTTGGCCTGGGTAGGTCTGGAGAAGGACCCCCTCGGCCCTTGTTTCAGTGCCGTCAGAGCAGTCATTAAACAAATGTTATTAAGTGAGGACCACCCGTGTCTGTGCGTTTCTTTTCACTTCTTCCCACTGAATCCTCTGAGGCCCTTGCATAATAGATCGCGAAGCATTGAGGCACACGCTGTATAAATATCACAGTGTCGGAATAACATACGGTCTGAAAATGGGGAGTTTGGAGCAATGAATGGCCTGGACGACTAGACCTGACAGTATGTTAAAGTATTGATCGAGTTTTATATTAACATTTTATGGACGGAGTCTTAGTTTCTACAAATGTTACTTACTTATTCATCATCCTATATATCTTTTTCTAGAGCTACTATATTTTTGCTTGTCCTTTATTATATCTTCCTGTTGTTACTGATATATATATAAATTAAATATATATTATAAATATATAATACATTTTTAAAAACTCAATGCCTACAATGGCTTGTTGCATTCGTGTTTCGCCTTCTTTCCAAGTTGAAGTCTCTAGTCCCCAAAACAGCCCTTCTCCCAGATTAAGGCTCAGACCATGGAGTCGAGACTCTAGACCAATTCAATTCAATTCAGAATAGAGCTGGAAGGGACTTTGGAGGTCTTCTAGTCCAACCCCCTGCTCAAGCAAGAGACCCCATACCATTTCAGACAAGTGATTGTCCAATCTCTTCTTAAAAATCTCCAGTGATGGAGCACCTACAACTTCCAGTGGCAAGCTGTTCCACTGGTTAATTGTCCTCATTGTTAGGAAGTTTCTCCTTAGTTCCAGGTTGCTTCTCTCCTTGATCAGTTTCCATCCATTCTTTCTTGTCTTGCCTTCTGGTGCTTTGGAAAATAAGTGGACTCCCTCTTCTTTGGGGCAGCCCCTCAAATATTGGAAGACTGTTATCATGTCACCCCAGTCTTTCTGTTCCCTAGACTAGCCATGCCCAGTTCCTGCAACCGTTCATCGTATGTTTTAGTCTCCAGTCCCCTAATTATCCTAGTTGCTCTTCTCTACACTTTCCCCAAAATCTCAACATCTTTTTTCTAATGCGGTGACCAAAATGGGATGCCGTATTCCAGGTGTGGCTTTACTAATGATTTATAAAGCGGTACTAAGACTTCCCGTGATTTTGATTCTATACCTCTGTTTATACAACCAAGGATTTTATTAGCTTTTTTGGCTGCTGCCGCTCACGGCTGACTCATGTGTAAGGGATCGTCCCGAGGACTCCAAGGTCCCTCTCGCAGTTACTGATTTTGAGCCAGGTTTCGCCTAGTCTATGTTTGTATCTTTGGTTTTTCCTGCCCAGGTGTAAAACCTTACTTTTCTCCACATCAAATTTCATATTGTTGGATGGGGCCCATTGTTCAAGTCTGTCAAGATCTTTTTGGATCCTGAATTTGTCTTCTGGGGCGTTGGCTATTTCTGCCAATTTAGTGTCACCTGCAAATTTATACCCTTCTATACCCTCATCTAAGTCATTTACAAAGATACGTTCATAATCCCTGGTGTTCAGCAACATATGTTGAAAACCAGGAATGTCCACCCTTGGCAATTTTAAGACCTGTGGACTTCAACTCCCAGAATTCCCCAGCCAACCATGCTTAAAATCACCCGGCCAAGGAAGGCTTAAAAACAGCAGGAAATTGAGCAGCAAAGGGATTTTACAGACTCCTAATCTGGACTGCTACATCTTTCCCTCCTTTGGTACCCGTCAGATGTATCTCAGCATACAGGCTGGGGATGATGGGAGGCAGACTTCCCGTTTTCCTAATTTGGTATCCTCCAGATGCCTCTGAGCACACAGGCTGGGAATGATGGGAGATGGGCTACCTGTTTCTCTAATTTGGTATCCTCTACATGTCTGAACACACAGGCTGGGGATGATGGGGGGCCTCATTTAAGTGGGGGAGCTTCAGAGGTGGAAAACAGCCTCCTTGCTAGAGGCACATACCTTTTCAAGAGGCCAAAACCCACAGCTGGGGGGGGAGTCTTCCACACCAGCTCAGCCCACAAATGTAATGGGAAGCGTCGCCCCCAAGCAACCCCCCCCTCCCCGTTTCCTGGAGGTGCCCAGCGAGCTCCTCCTGGAGGCTGGAGCACCTTCCTCTCATTTTACAACTCCTGTGCCCGTGTGCGAGAGTCTGCCAGCCTTTGAAGCCGGTTTGACGGCTCAGGGATAATGAGCTGCCTGGGATGTTGGCGCTGCCGGCTCCGTGTTCCTCCCGGGAGGATGCGGTTGCTAAGCGAGGGAGAGGAAGGCTCCGCATGGCATCATCCAGGATTGGCAAGACACATCCCAGCAAGGGGGCTCTGCATGGCTCACTGGGGGCTCCACTTCAGCTGCACCCACCGGAACGGCCAAAATCTGAGGACCCCAAGCCAGCACGGGGATGTGTGACTCCTTGCCACCTGTACAGCACTGGCCCTTAGACTTCTATGCCGCTTCACAGGGCTTTTGCCGCCCTCTCTGAGCAGTTGACAGAATCCGCCTGCCCCACAACCACTGGGTACTTTTATGAACCTGGGTGGGCTTCCTCATATACAAGGGTGGGGGGGGCTTGGCCAAGAAGGAAGAATAGGCCATCGGTTTATATGTAGTACTCGACTTATGACCACAATTGAGCCCAACATTTCTGTTGCTAAGCGAGACATTTGTTAACTGAGTTTTGCTCCATTTTATGACCTTTCTTGCCACAGGTGTTAAGTGAATCACTGCAATTGTTAAGTCCATAACACGGTTGTTAAGTGAATCCGGCTTCCCCCTTGACTTTGCTTGTCAGAAGGTCGCAAAAGGGGATCACGTGACCCTGGGACACTGCGACCGTCATAAATGTGAGACAATAGCCAAGTGTCCAAATTTTGATCACATGACCATAAGGATGCTGCAACAGTGCGAGAACCAGTCATAAATCAATTTTTCTGGTGCTGTTGTTTGCTAGGGTCTGATTTTGCTAAAAACTGGAAGCAAATGCCAATGTTCAGCAAAACCGTCATAAAATGAGTTCCTGTGACTGCGTGATCCTGCGGGTGGCCGTAACTGCAAGAGGTTTGCTGAATGCCGGACATGCGGACATATGGCCATGGGGGTGGGGGGAGGAGGGGACAGCTGTCAGAAGTTCAAATCCAGGTCGTAAGTACCTTCAGGCAGTCGGTCGTAACTTCAAACAGCCACTAAGCAACTGGTCATAAGTTGAGGAGTACCTGCAGTTATCCCAGAGCCCCAACCTCAAGACTTGAGAAGGGTGCTCTGACCCTGATGGCCAGTTCTTAAAGGCCACCTCGACTTGAATGAAAAGACAGGAGTCTCAGCGCTAAGGTCACTGACCACGCGTGGTGGGGAAATTCTCTGAACCTCCCGGCTGCGTCGCTCCACGTCTTCACTCTCCATTAACTGTCTGTACCGTTCTGGTCTTCCCAGGCCTACCTGCCTCTTTGCAGGCTTTACCTCTACGTTACATTTTATAATTTAGATTTATAATTAAATATACACCTATTTAATTTAATATATTATGAAGAACGTTTGCAGGAACTGGGCATGTCTGGTTTAATGAAAAGAAGGACCAGGGGTGACATGATAACAGTGTTTCAATATCTCAGGGGCTGCCCCAAAGAAGAGGGAGTCAAGCTATTCTCCAAAGCCCCTGAAGGCAGGACAAGAAGCAACAGGTGGAAACTAATCAAGGAGAGAAGCAACCTGGAATTAAGGAGAAACCTCCTAACAGGGAGGACGATTAACCAAAGGAACAGCTTCCCTCCAGAGGTTGTGGGGGCTCCATCACTGACGGCTTTTAAGAAGAGATTGGACAGCCATTTGTCTGAAATGGTGTAAGGTTTCCTGCCTGAGCAGGGGGTTAGACTAGAAGACCTCTGAGGCCCCTTCCAGCTCTGTTATTCTGTTCTGTTTTTTCCATCTCTGATCTTGCCTTGTACTGGTAGAGAGGATGCAGCCCGTGGCTAATTCAGGCTAATTAATGCCACGTTTCACACTCAGCCACGGGAGGAAGCAGACAACCAAGAAAAAGATAAGACGAGGCAACCAAGAAAGCCTCCCAGATTCCCGTGACTTTCCCCTCTCTTGCAGACCAACAAGGCATTCGTTTTCCAGAAGACTGTGACCTCCCAAGGATCGCGGAGGAGAGAGCAAAATTGAGGGTGCACCCATAAAACACCAGCCCCGCTGGGTTCCGCTCAACCTTTTGTAAAGCCTCCCAGAGGTGCCTCTGACAGCCCATCATCTGCCGGGACAAATGACCCAAGAGAAGAACATCCATTAATTACCCAGCCTTGTCCCAAGCGTCCTTCCTTCCCCATCACGGCCAGAATTAGCAACGGCACCAGATCAGAGGCAAGGGGACAGATGTTAAAACCACTGCTGCAAAATAAGAGGGAAGCTCCTGAGGACGCCTCTGCCAGCCTTGCGCAGAATAACAGAGGCGGAAGGGACCTTGGAGGTCTTCTAGTCCAACCCCCTGCTCAGGAGGAAAGCTTATACTACAGGGTATCAAGACAAATGGCTGTCCAACCCCTTCTTAAAAGCCTCTGACCCACAACTTCTGTCCCACTGATTAACTGTTCTCAGTGCCAGGAAATTTCTCCGTAATTCTAGGTTGCTTGTCTCCTTGATTAGTTAATGGATTCGTTTCCATCCTTCCTGTCCTGCCTTCGGGTGCTTTGGAGAAGAGCTTGACCCCCTCTTCTTTAGGGCAGCCCCTCAAATATTGGAAAAGTGCGAATATGTCACCCCCTGGTCCTTCTTTTCATTAAACTAGCTATGCCCAGTTCCTGCAACCGTTCTTCGTCTGTTTTATCCCCCAGTTCCCTACCCATCTTTGTCTGCA